TAAAAGCTGAGGATTACGCAGGGTGTAACCACAAAGACTAGGCTGCTTTCAGTGTATTAAATATGAAACGTGGCAGTATTGCAGACTGACCCACTTAATTTTCACATTCACTTCAGTTGAAGATTCTTGGAGACAGTATTCTCATTGTATTGAACTTCTAACTTATGGGTAACTAAGGGAACCGGTGAGGACCCAAAGTTCCCCGTATAATCCGTGCAGTAAAGCCAGAAGTTGGGAGAGATCTGTAATGCTTAATTCAAGTGACTTGGTAACCTAGATGCTGTAACAGTTTCCACAGACCCTCTGAAAAATACTCGTAGCAATGCTTATTGCTTTGTGCACGTTGATGTTCCTTAGAATACACAAAGATGGAAGACAACCACACACAGTGAGACTGACCATACGCCAGTTCTCCTCAACCGACAAATGGTTTCATCGGGAAAGTCGTCAGTGTCCTATTCCGCCTCATCTCATTCAGAAATTTGGAAAAGGTAAACTTAGAATTTTTGAAGGTATCAACTTTGTGCTGCTGCCACCTAACTTCTCTGTAAAATTCTGTTACTTAATGTCATGATAATACTCCCTACACTCAATATTTGGAAACTTTTCCCTTACTTGTAATGGATGTATGTTGATGAGATATGCTAAAAACATACAGAACTTCACTGTGGGAATAACTTCTATGTTACTACCATGTTTTAACCCAACCTGGCTGGATTCCTGGCAGTAAATTTCTTAGTGGGGTGGGAAAGGGCGACTGGGGGCTGCTTCCCAGATTAATAATCTACTGTTCTCTATTAGGGATTTGAATTACATTCTCAGTTTTATTAGGTAACAAAATGTCTTTTTGATGTACCTCTGAAAATTAATCACATAAAGGCTCTCCTCCTTCTCAGACTTAAGCTTTCCAACCAGCAATTGCGATTCATTTGACACTTCATTCCAATTGGGGTGAGGAAATAAATCTGAATCACGGCTGTGTCAGCACACCGAATCACTCTTCCCTGACTTCAATTCCCGAATTACTTCTTGCAATCCTAGAGAAGCTATTGAAAGTCTCTGTAGGTCCCTACTTCAAAATTGCTACTGGACTTCTACATTGGAGGAGATGACTGTCAGCTCATATAGTCATGCAAACTCCAATAAACCGTGTGGTTATGGCCAGTGTTGGGGTAATGTTCTATACCTGCGTGGCCCTGTAAAGGCCCTTTTTGGCAGAATTAGATCATTTTTCCTATCTACTCCGCTTGGCTTGGATTCTGTAATTCTTCTTTTCTAACCTAAGTACATACTATAAAGTAATCTTCACAGGTGTGACATTAAGTATTTTTACTAGATGGGGGGGGGGGGAAGTCTGTTACTCAGTTCAGGATGTACCTGACAGGGCAGAACAAACAACGACTATATTGACAAGGTTATTTTGCAAGCCTTCAGCAGTGTTTAGAATTTAATACTTCGGAAATTCATGTTTTGAGATGAATACAGGTTTCCTTAGTGTATATAGCTGGAGCTATAAATATTCTCGTATTGCTAGGAATAGCACTGTATTTTCAACTTTTTAGACTACGACTGATCTCTTCTTTTTTGTGTACATGCAAAATGGTGACAGTTCAGAGCATGAAGTTAGAAGCTTGCCTTTGTACTCTGCTATTTAAATCAATCTTACTCACTCGGTTACTTTCGATTACATACATTGCTTTTTTCCCCAACCTTTTTTTAGAAAGCAGCAACGTTATATCCCCATTGGTTGCTATACTAATGAAGCTCTTTCGAAAGATGATAGATGTAGATCTACCATTTCATCTTACCCTTTTGAGTGTCTGCTTCTCCAACCTCAAAGATCTTCCTAGCAGCAAGAAAGGATCAATTGGTTTCTATCTAAAGCAGATGTCACCACCATCAGGCTCTGGTAAACGTGGCCGGGTAAGCTGAAAGACACTGAAAACTACCTGCAGATAAGAAAGTTCTGAGATATTTCTGTCTTTATTATATAGATTTAAACCGTAACTGCTTTGGAATTTTTAGGATCAGAAGTTTTATTCACCTGGTAAAAATGAAGATTTCTTTGGAGTCTTCTGAGGCTTTGTTTGCTTTCTTTCATTAAAAGAGATTTAATAGTCTTGAATGGGACAGCCAGCTAGGTTATCCAGCCCCTTAACCAAAGAGAACAGAATTCACCAAGGGAGAAATCCAGACTTTGTCTTCTAAAAAATAATTGCTGAATTTGGCTGTTCATTCCAGTAAGATCTGCCCTTTATTTAGCATTTGTGAAACAGCAGGCCACTTACTTAGATATTGTCATACTGAAGCATCTTTTACCTTAGACTAAAATCTCTGCAAAGTTGCTTACAATTTACCTTGTTGCTTTCATTAAGGTAACTTCCACAGTTATTATTTACCTTCCTATGCATTCTCAAGTCTCCCTGTTCAGCCTAGCAATTAATCAAAGATTCAATTCTGTATTGGCCACTAGGTTCTGATCTAGTGAGCTTCTAATTCCTGCTCGGAACGGAACAAATCTCCTACCTCCCAGCTGCCTCTGCTAGACAGTGTAGAAGCCGTCTGTGGAGACGCTGCTAAGTATTTCCACAAGATGCTTTCAGTGCGTAATACAAAACCTTAGTAACTTCAAAGTTATCTGTGTAATGACTTTACCGTTTCTGTCTTGACAAAGCGATTTTGCGTATCGATAAACTTGTCTGTTTCTCAGCTGCTCAGGACTGTGAGGGATAACATCATGTTGTGTATTCTAAAGCTCCACAGTTTTAAAGCAATAAAATGTAACGTCAAGGTATTTGCTACTTTAAAATCAGAAAAGGATTCCTACGTGTATGTACTTTTTAAGGTCTATGTTTGAAAATGAGATTTAAAAAAACACTACTGATCATAAGAAAAAAATATTACTGTCTGTTAAGGAATAATTTGAAGAACTTGCCATTAATAAACTAGTGTTTGGTAACTAGTAGCTTACACAGAACGTACTTAGGTTTTTACGTACATTTTTTGCCACAGGAAGTGGAAGATGTCTCACCAGGTGAGGGAAGTGCTTCTTGGAACCAGAACTGCAACAGAACTGGAGCTGTAAAAAGTAGGAAATTTTCAGAGGAAAAGAAAAGCAATATTAAAAAAGCAGGAATTCCTGACTTCCCATTTCATTTGTCTCCTGGTGATATTGACCAGGAAGTCTTCAGGGAACTTCCAGAAGATATTCAAAAAGAAATTATTTCTGAAAAAGCAGAAGCAATCCCTACTGAGAATGTTTCGGGTCAGCCATCAGTATGTTTTGCAGGAGAGGTACAGAGCACTTCCCCAAATTCTGAGGGACTAAACAGCGACACACACTCTGCAGGGTGTATCACGCCAGCTCACGAAACTGCAGCTGCTCTGGCACGCAGCTCCAGGGCCAGTTGTTCTTCCGAGTGTCCCAGAAGTGCATTGCCAAGCAGCAGTATGGAAAAACAAGCTACTGACTCCCTGAACTTCAGAGGGAGAGATCTGTCACCGCTGGAAGCTGGAGCCAGCCAAACTGTTCTGCACGTCCCTGTCTCGGATAAAGATAAGCAGGCCTTGGAAACAGCTTCTGAGGATAAAACTTACAGTAGGCAAGCAGGAATTGTATTTCCTCCTGATGTTGACACAAAGACTTTTTATGAACTACCCACAGATGTGCAAGAAGAACTGCTAGCTGAATGGAAGAATCGGGAACCTGTGCCCAAGACTTCTATGGATAAACCCCCTGAAAAGCCTAAAGCAAATAAAGGAAGGAGGAATACAGCACCATCTTTATCACAGTCTAACAGTTTGCTAAGATATTTTAAACCCCAGTGAAATATTTTTTCATGATAGTGACACTATAAGAATCAGCAACTTGAAGGCACTTTAGTTATGAAAAGTTTACTGTAAATTGTAAAGATGTGAATATTAAAAATGTATTTTGACGACTTTTGCCATAAAGCCTGCTGGTGACTCTGTTTAAGTAGTGGTCTGTCTTATTTTTTGTCCTTCTAAACTGACATTTATCTGATGAATCTTCAGTTGTCCTAAAAATATGACAGCATCCAAACATGTTTTAGTATTCACTATTAATACCTTAACACGCTGACTGGGGGAAGGAATTTTTACTCTAATTTTCACTGAGTTATCGTATGTGTGCAGTTAATTGTTCCTAACAAATTGGGAGGGGATTGAGCGGAGAAGATGAAAGCAATTTTCACACTGTTCTTTAATTTGCAGCACTGTTTCTGTGATTGGTAATGGAAATTGCTGTTCGCATGGCTATTGCTATTTCCCGCAGTTAGCTCGTAACTAGAGGTACTAGAAATAGTAAGGGCTAATGGGAAACATTACTTCCAAATGAATCATATCACCAGCTCATTCCTGGAAATTAGTCAGCATATAAAAATTGTTGAGGTTTGGTGCTCAGGATTCAGAAAATGACAAACAACTCCGTGTATAAAGAGCAGCTTTTAATGAGATGCTATATACAAATTCGTCAGGCTTTTCTTGAAATATTTAATTGCAAAACAGTGAAATAGTTGCTAATTACAGATGCGCACTTATAGTTAAGAAACATATTTAAAGTCTCTAGTACACAAGATGTTTGCTTGTTTCAGTCAAGAGGACATAATTGAGGTAAGAATTTACCACGGTGTGTTTAAAGCTATGGCAACATACTTGACGACTGTATTTTAACATTGCTATAATTTATATCACCAGATTCTCACGTGTGTGTATATATATTCTCTGCATATAAAGTGCAAAAATATTACAAAACATCACCTGATTACATCGAAAGCGACATCCTGTACTTTGAGGGCACTTCAGTGTACATTCTTGCATCATTCCCAAGAACAGAGAAAACCAGCGTTCACCATTTTAGCAGTTAAGCTTTACACATTTCCACATAAACCACAATTAAAATAAACTTCATCATCTACTTTAAAAATGAATCCAAGTAAGAGTTACACGTGACTTAAGTGCTTATTATTTTCCACTTACATTTAATTATGGTCTTTCAAGCCCTTCAGTCCAGCTCTCGTTTCAGTGATTAAGTTTATGAGAGTAGTAGGCAATGCTGTCTCCACTACAGAACAGGGAAGCATTCCTCCTAGTTCTGGCTGAATAAATACAACTAGCTTAGAATGCGCTGGATTCCTGTGATGAAAGGAGCAAAATCCTTCAGTTAACACTTGTTGCTCTTGCTGTGAAACTTACTGAGACGTACAAATGCTTACAATTTATAGTTCGCCTCTGTTGAAATTACTAATACAAAAAAAGTGGAGGATGTATAAAAGTTTCAATTGTTTCAAAAGATAGTCTGAGTCACAAAACCGATCTGCACAAAACTCTAAAGTTTCCCCAGAATAAAACTGTCTAAATAAAATAACAACAAAAAAACCCCTGTGCGGTTCAGTAAATTTTAGGCTTTGTCTAGAGAAGACAACCGAGTAACCAAAGATGCTGATGTAAGGGGGCTTTAAATACTTACTCGGGCAAAGGTGCACACACATATCCACAGGGATTGTTATAACCACGGACACAAGAGGGAGTTGGAGGGCAGCTGGAGTATTCCACGCTGACAGCTAGAAGTCACCACACACAAAAAGCAAAATCAAATTAGTTCTGTTTATATATGTCAATCATACGACTCAAAAATACCTTTTAAAGACAGACAACTCTATTACAGGACAGTACAAGATCTCACAATACGGTCACTGCTGTGTTCAGCAATTCCATTCTGTACACAAAGCACCTAAAGGACATTAAATATTTGTGCAAGTAATTCAGTACATGTAAAAGTTTCTATAGATGTCTGGGTGGGTATACCCAAAAGTATTATCCTTGAGACGTGATTACACATACTTAAGTGTTGAGGTGCGGCTTAGTTCTGGACAAAGAAGTCAGTTTGTCAGCAGACGTCATTAATTAGTAAACGCAATTGCAGAGAAGACAAAACTGCTGCACACATGCACAGTAGTAGTTAGGAGGGGTTGTTTTGTTTAGCTATCCATTATTTTTGCATAACAGAAGTATTTTAAGAGTATGGCTTGAAAAAAGATAGGTCAGTAAAGTTCCAAGATGAAAAAATCTTGTTTTCTGCCACGTACTAAGATCCACACAAAGGAAAAAGATCAGCACAGAAATGAAGTAGCAGTGAGATATTTTCCTGGCTGGCCATATAGTTGTATTATTAATCATTTTACATTTTGTGCAAGTTTACAGAGCCAAACTCAAAGAGAATCAAATATGGAGCGAATTAGCAAGTTCACTCTTGTGAACAGCATATTAGACAAGTAGCATTTGGTCAGGAAGCCATCCAAGTACAGAGAAGTGTTATTAAATAAACACTGAATTTATATAGGGAAATAATACATTCTAACTTCCTTGTACTACTACACTTCTTTCAATTTTTCAAATAGAGTCATAATAGGAGAGTAAACAAAGAACACGGTATTTTCATTGAAGATCAATTTTGATAGTTTTAGTATTAAAAAAAAACCCAAAAACCCAGCTTTGTTTTGGGGATAAACAGGAGGGGACTGTTAATGTCAGTAAGACCACACAGGGAGCAAGGTACTCTATACTGCGATGAGCCTGCAGAACTGATTCTACAGCCATTCACCTCCGGAACGCAGCCGAAATATGGAAACATGCAGTAGTTCCATGCAACTTACAGTTAGTTGTAAGGATATCACCAGGGTATGGTTTAACATGCAGCAGGTCAACAAAATCTCTTGATGAAATCAGTCCCATACCATAACTGTGCGTTACACTGTGGTATATACCAGTGTCCTACAAGTAAGTAAAAGTAATTGTTTGAATTAATATGCAAGAAGCTAAGTTTTCACTGGAGAAGCAGCGTTATATGTTAATAATGAGAATGTGGCAAAAATGGATTCCTATTTTTAGTGTAAGATGGCAGTTCTGAGATCTCATTAGGGCTGAACTAACAGGAGAGCCACGAAAGGGATCTTCCAGTAACCCAGGGTAGGGATTCACTGCCATTCCCTGTGGCCTAGATTTGAGGCAGGAGCAGCTTTTCTGTGTGGAAAAACTCCAAATGTGCACATTGAGTATCCATGTTTAGTGGAGCTAGAATGCCTATTTGCGTTACAACACACATGCTGGATTGCACATTGTGTTCTAGGACAAAGATGTATCATCTGTTAAATTAAATCAGTTCCAAAAAAAGCACAAAAAGATACGGTTGGATGTACCACTCCATCCTAACGTGACCAACTCTAGCAGATCCAGGCAGAGGAAAGTGAGAGAGAGGTTCAGGGAAGACAAGAAGGGGAGGATTCCCCCCCCGGCCCCCGATTTAGAGAGTACTTTCATCCACTTGAGTCGTTCATATAAGTACAATGTGTCCCAAGACCTCTAAGTGGGCCATCTCTCTCAAGTGGTTAGATCAAAGGCAGCTAACACAGAACTGGTATTCTTCATAGGAATTCCGAGTTCTGTGTTTCCAGAGTGCCTGAGACAAAGTCCCAAACGACCAGAATTCAGAACATACAGTATTTCACAGCACTACTACGGCATCAATCCCATCTCCATGCTGCCCTTGACTTGGATTTTTTTAATTTCTATAAACCATGCTCCCTGTGGGAGGTGAGCTTTCCCTATGTCGTGATTGTGGCTCACCATACTCTTGATGGAGACTTCTGCTGTTCTCCATGCACTGAATTCTTGATATGCTCGAGGACATATATTTCACAATAATTATTTAACGCCTAAGGGGAGGGACACATTTCATACCCATTCCACGTAAGCAGCAGGTTTAAAGTTTTAACCAACCCAGAATGTATTTTGTATTGAGAACTTTCTTCGTCCCAAGAGAGGTCTTTTTAGTCACTGTAATTCATGCAGAAAGAGCTAAAATAAAATCTTTGTATTAAATTATCATATTACCTGGTCAATCCTTTCTAACAGCTTGTAAGATTGTAATGCTTTATCCCATTTGCTTCGATATTCAGGAAGATACATAAAAGGAATAATTTTACTAGGTACTTCCTTAATTATCCCTTCTCCACGGTATCTAGATTGTGTAAAAAAACAGATATTGAATTCACAGTTATGAATCGGAAAAATAAATGATACAATAATAAGCATCTAGCAGTTGGGGATGCCAGGCTATAATGAGGTAAAGCACACGAATGTGATTGTACTTGATGGATTGATTAAAATTGAAGTAGTAATAAAAATTATTATTCTGTAACTGATTTTTGAGACCATGACATTCTTGACACCATACATTTTAAGTGAATTATTTGTGAGCTATTAGATAGGAACTTGCTAATTTAAATATATGCAATTCACCTATTAATTTATTTTTTCTCTATAGATACTTTCAATCCATTTCGACACTGATTGCAAATCTTCTATTTATTAACTCGTACATCCTGGCACTTCTCCAACTTTTGTTCATAATCTTCTGAGGAGTCCAAGGCAAAGTTCACAGAGGGGAAGAGGGGCCTCTCACAAGGAAAAAGGAAACTCCTGTATTGCTGGGAATTGCTCACTAATACTGATAATTCTCACACCTAGTTCCTGGAGAAACTGTGAATCACTACAGTAAGCACTCACAGACAGCAGTTAAATGCAAAGGTGAAGGATGCTGCGCGACAACAGATGAGCTCAAAGGAGACAACACTTGCAAACAATTTAAGAAACATGAAATCAGATTTACAGACCCTGATGGTGCACGAGTGTAAGTCAGAAAGAGCAAAGATAGCCAAGTTCAAACCCAAACACAGAGGCCCCGTAAAGTCACGCATCTGTTTCTTCACTCTGTGGCAACTCTTATCACCACGTACTGCCTTGGTGGAGCGAGCGCCATGTGGGTGTATATGACTACTCCAGAAACCCGCTTCTCCACTAACTACAGCAGGTCCGATGGTGATGGAAAACATTTTAATGCCTACTCAAAAACAGCGAACGTAAGCTGTGGCAGGACCAGTTAAAACCAGTATATTAATATCTGGATACACCCTTTATTTCCATAACTCCCATGAACTTATGTTTACCAATCTCCTAAGCAGCTCTCGCCTGCATCCTGCAATATCTTCTCTCCTAAACTCAGAGTTGTTAATCAGGAGGACTTCTTCTAGGCAAGGCTTCTGAAAGACACAGTTGCTAGAATAAAAGAAAGGGCACACTTGTGAAAAATCTCAATTCCCAGTTTTTACCGTGGATTATTGAGAACACTGGAAAAAGAGGAAGTAAGCCTGGTAAAGACCGCTTGGCTCACCAAATCTAGTCTCGCTGTCTTAGACAAACTGAAATACATACCTCATTGTCTTTCTTGAGCTTAGGTGACATAATTCCAAAGAAAATCCTATTCAGCCTTGAACAATCACCCTAATGCTTCCCTGAACTCTGCTGAAAAATATTTCAGCTGACTGAAGCGAGGATCTCTATTGCTTTTCACTACCAGATCCCATACTGATTTCTTTTAGCAAGTAAAGCAAACTGTTAATACTCTTGCCAATTAAAAAAGAAAGTGGCATTTGTGATAGGCAGTTAATAAATATTCAACGTCAAACTGAAAATGCGAACAGCTATACTTTTGCTCCTACAAACAGCTAGCATTCCTTCACAAAAGACATGCTAGGGACCAGTGCTGCTTGCTAATGTGACAAAGATTTGTACAAAAATAAATGAGTTAAAGATTCTGGCTGTACCAAATGGCAGAAAGTACAATGATGCTTCTCCCAACTGCAAAGGACTTGCTGTATACAGGTCTGAGTGCAACTGAAAACGGCTTCATGCCTGATTGAGACCATAGCGTATCTTTTTTCCTCCACAGAAATAAGTCAGGCACATTCTTATGAATTCTAAGCAACCAGACTCTCACTCCTTCACATCCACCTGTACTGAAATAAGATCTGAACTACAATAATAATGCCACATACAAAGCATGGAAATTCTTATTAAGATAACAGTACTTTTAACATATTCTAATGAAATATTACAGCTGTTTTCCATTATAGTACTGTAGAGTAATTCTTCTGTAATAGTAGTGATATAGCATTGCCTTCTGTAATTAATACCTTCTTTGCTCAAACCTTCAGAAATAATTAGAAAACCAAGCAAGACTTTTGGATTTCGAATACCACTAATCACAGACATCTCATCATATTGAGAACAAAAAAGAATCAGATGCATATTTTCTCTACTGCCTATCTGTCGAGATTGGCATTTAATATAATTTAATACCCATTAGGCATTTTGATAAAATAAATTTTAAAAAAAAGAGGTGCTAAGGACATCTTGCAAGTGTCCTCTTTTCCTCTGCTTTTGCATGCTTCTCTTCAGTGAGATTTTTTTTCCTTTCCCCTGGTTAAATGAGCCAAATCAGCTTGGTAAACAATCAGCTGAGTGCCACGGCCACCATAAACAAGAAGCAGGATTGCAGAGCCAGGAGAGGGGTAGGGAAGAGGAGAGGAAGAACATAAGGAGTAGAGCCAATGCTATCAGTGACAGCAAGCTAGGAGATCAGCTTTATCTGCCTCGCCTAACTCCACTCTTTGGGCCAAATCTAGCTGCTTAACAGCACAGAATTCATTGCTCAATAGAAGGAAGGACAGATGAAATTGCTGCTCCAGAGATTACATGACCTTCTTATTCTCAGTACAGTTAATTCACTTTCGGGTGCCAGAAAGAAACAGGTACAAAGGACAGATAAGGTAGAGCAAGAGTGTAAGCACGTCTGCATGTGTGAGTATCGGTCATTTCACAAGTACAAAGGGGTGAAAAGTGAAGTGGTAAGATATAATTGCTTGAATAGAATATTACACCAGGAAGAGTCACTGGCTTCAGGCCAAAACCGTGACTCCGTATCTACTTATTCCATATTACTAAGTGTTATATAGTATTTAATTTTCATAGCACTTTTGAAAATTGCTTGGGAAATCCACCTCTCATATTCCAGCCCTATTGCTGACACAGCGTAACTACAGCACAAAATCTTCTCTACAGCTAACAAAACTAAACTTAACGCTTTCATACAGGACAGAACATGATTAAATTTTCCCTTTCAATCTTGGGTGTTACTGTTCAAAAGAGATGTTGTTATTCATTACAATGACAAACAAAATGTAAATACTTACATATTTCCTGCATACTCTTTTGAAGGCTTTGAGGAAACTGTAACATTTTTCTCAAAATAGAAAAAGGAAAAAAAAACTTAGCAGTTGATAACTTAGTGGTTAATAAAGAGTTACCAACTAATTTTTAAAGGAAAACAGTTTTAAACACTTGTTTGCAACAAAATTATTTCAATAAAAATAACTTTATAAACAATATTAACTAATATTTTCTTACTGAAACTTTTATCACTCTCCATCCTGAAGTATCTTGGCTGTATGATAAAATTTTTTCTGAAACTTCATCCGCAATTTTCTTATAGTCCATTTATCTGTAAAGATTTAAAAGCAATTTGCTGTTATATGATAAAAGCATTCCTTAAAGAACAAAAGCCATAGTGCTCATTCCTGTATTCTTTCCATAGGCTTTAGCATATGTTAATTGAGTATTTCTATCAAATGAGCTTTTTGTTCATCATACTCGATTACAGGAAAAAAAGTCTTTATTTAAATAAAATTCTGTAATTGACTTCCAGTCTGGGCTACTGAGAAGTAGGTGTTGGTGTGGATCTTGAGAATGAATTACAGCATCTAGTGAGACACACCGTTCACTCCGTATTAAATCCATCATTACTCCACATGAAAATTTCCCCTCCTTATACAGTTTATCGCCTGAGATTCTGATTCTGCCCTGACTTGCTAAAGTCATTAGACTAGTAGCCAACTTGCGTAGCGCAAACACACGAGGCTCAAACAGTTGAAGAGAGATTTTCTTCTTACATCAGAGCTTTACACAACAATCATTACAGGCTGTGCTATTGTTGAAACTCTTTGGCAAGCGAGAGGCCTGGCTCTACCAACAAGCAGAGCAGCAAGGTTGCAGAAGCCACCTTGACCGAGCCACCCAGCACCCAGCCCTCCCCAGCGCGGACACCTCCTGGGCGCCGGAGCTCCCCACCTCTCCGCCCTTCCTCCCCCCAACCCCTGCGGTATCTCTCGGGGAGCTCTTTCTCATAAGGACATCAACAGTAGCTCTTGGGCCAACAGCGCTGAACGCTTCTGGACCAGCCTCTCGCACAAAATTAACTTCATACCTAGACCTTCATGGGGCTGTCCCGTGTAATGGGTTGCACAGACTCTTTCAGTGGCATCCTGTGGAATTTCATAGAATCATAGAATTGTTTAGGTTGGAAAAGACCTTTAAGATCATCCAGTCCAACCATTAACCTACACTACCAAGTCCACCACTAAAACAATTAAGGGGAGAGGAATAATTAATTTAATTTTTCCTGTCTTGGTGGCTGGATTAGTTTTTAATGGAAGTAAAACTAGGAATCATTCAGGTTGGAAAAGCCCTCTCAGACCATCAGCCCAACCATCAACCCAACACCCCCATGCCCA